CAAATGCAAATGCAAATGCAAACAACAAGGCTCGACTCTTTTAGTGAGAAGACAAGACTGGAAGATTGATTCCTCAACACGGAGATCACTGCAATTCTTCTTGGGGACTAAAGATGCTACCGCTGAACATATCTCTGCCACACTGATAAACTGTGCCAAATTGATGATCCTTGTAGGAAGGATGAAGAGCTTCCTGGGGATTCTTCAAGTAAACTGCCCCAGTTTAGCTGTCTGTTGTAGGTAAACTGATAATCGCTTCAGCTTGTTGAAGGTGACCGATCCGCTGGGTGCTTGGAAGGCTTGCCCCAGTCTGAGTCTTGAAATATCTTCTGGATAAACCACATCTGAGAAGACCTTGCTCTGAACAAATATTGAACTGATTCTTTGACAGGACGTGAAAAGAATTTTCCTCTGATAGGATCACCGACCAAGTTTCTCAACTGTTTGAAAATTCCTTTAGAGGAAAGCCAGTTTGCAAACAAAAGTATTCATACAAACATGGTAATGTAAAGTTCATGCAACTTTTGAAATCAACATCATTTTTGAAAGATGCAAAATAAATGAGTCATTGGTCAGAACACGGTGGTTCAAGACACTTAAAAGTGACAGGTAAAGCAAAAGGTATGATGCCAAAACAAATGATCTGCAAAGATCTTTTGGAGTCAGTTTACGCAACCTTGTTGTAGTATGCTTTCAAAACAACCTTGTTTCAGTTAGGTCTTTTGAGGGTTGTAGTGTGGCCTGGTTCACGGTTTAAGAAACAAAATATAAAGGCTCAAAGTGTGTTTGTGCCCACCCAATCTACGTGATAATCTTCAGTCCTATGCTCAGCTAACTCAGAATATACACTCAGGTTGCTATAGGAATTATACTAATGATAGCCATGATGATGGTTTAGAACTCAAAGGACTCTTTGAAAAGGCAGTCACTGCCTCCTCCTAACATCTGACATTGAGGATTTTTAGGGTAAAGGATTTAAAGATCTATTCTTTTATTGTCCCTAACTTTTGCCTGAACTGTTTCTTTTAAAGCTTACAATCAGCGGGATGCCCCAGTTTTTCCTAAGTCTCCTTCATAGTTTTTGACTTAGCGGGTTTTTTCTTTTGATATATATATATATATATATATATATATATATATATATATATATATATATATATATATATATATATATATATATATATATATATATATATATATATATATATATATATATATATATATATATATATATATATATATATATATATATATATATATATATATATATATATTGAAAGAAAGAGAGTGACTGTCTGGCTTTAATGATTATGGTGAACCATCATTGGCTTTTGATTTGGAAAACATCTTCGACACTTACTTGCGGTGTGTGAAGGAAAACTTGTGAAAGCAACCTTTATATGAAGGGTGTATTGCAGGAAAGCACAACCAAGTTAACTTAGAAACTACCCATCCCAAGGTTAAAATTGCGGGTTTTTTGTAAAGAAAGAAACTCCTACTTCTATGCTCGAAGGGGTTAACGAGGGATTATCTTCCTTATTTCTCTAGTGTTTGGGGAATTGAAACAATGCCTTACATCATCAACAAAGTTTGATTGAAAGCATACTGACAGCAGTTATGGGTATAATGTTTTCACCATCCTTCCTCAAATAATTGCATGTCAAAAGTTTGAACAACAAGTGCATATTTTAAAAAGATAAAGCATAAAGATGCAAATACTAGTCAAAATAAATTGAATCAAAAGTTGTAATGCTCATTTCATTAATCACGAAAGTTCAAACATAATTTGAAGGCAAACAACTAGTACAAAACAAGGAAAGTACAAACAACAATAAACAAAAGGCCTAGTGACTAAGTCAGGACAAGGATGAGTCGTCTTGTCTGAAACACTGGCGTTTAGAAAGACAGCCTGTTGAAGTCAGTCTGAAGCTTCACCTTTGATGTACTGGCAAGGGATTGTTCTGGACATTCAGATGACTATCCTTAAAATCAAGGATTCCAGTTTGAATCAACTCACGCACTCTGGATTTCAGTGCATAACAATGTTCCAAGTCGTGGCCTGGGGCACCCTCATGAAAATCACAATGGAGGTCAGCTCTGAATCTGGTTGGAGGAGGATTAGGAGGTTGCAAAGCCTTTGTAGTGATCAGCCCTTGTTGAACTAGATCAGGATAAATTTTTGTGTATGTCATGGGAATAAGATCAAATTGATTCCTATTTCGATACTGGTTTTGTCCAACAGCTGGACGTTGAGGAGTCTAAGCTGGTCGTGGAGCGGTGACAGCAGCAATAGTAGGGGTAACGACAGCAATAGCAGAGTGATTATACCTTGGTTGGGGACGAGGATTTCTCACTTTAACCATGACATTGTTGGTTTGATCTTCTTTCTTCTTATGGAAGGCCTCAAAAGATTTCTTCGCACCACTTGAAGATTCAGCAGCTTTGGAGACTTTACCATTTTTCAATCCTTCTTCTAACCTTTGGCCAATAGTCACCAGATCTGTAAAGCTTGAAGATACACTTCCAATCATCTTTTCCTAATAAAGAGGCGACAGAGTATCCATGAACATTCCAGTTAATTCCTTCTCTTCTAGAGGGGGTTCAACCTGGGAAGCCAATTCTCTCCACCGCTGGGCATACTCTTTGAATGACTCTTTCTCATTCTGAGACATATTTTGAAGTTGACGGTGATCAGGAGCCATGTCCAAATTGTATTTGTATTGCTTCATAAAATCGTTAGCGAGATCTTGGAAGCAGTGGATGCTGATATACTCTAAGTTCATATACCATTTGAAAGAAGCACCACTCAAGCTGTTCTGAAAGTAGTGGATGAGCAGCTTCTGATTGTTGGTGTAGGCTGCCATCTTTCGGAAGTACATGACCAGATGGGCTCTTGGACATGAGTGACCCTTGTATTTCACGAACTCAGGAGTTTTAAACTTAGCATGCATAACGAGACCAGAAACTAAACACATATTGTCTGCATCAACGTTGAAGAAATATGTACCCTCGACAGCCTTGAGTCTCTTATCTATGTTCTGAAACTATTCACGAACAATCTCAGGCTCAACAAAATCTTCATGGTCTTCTCCTTGAGCATTGGCAGCATGGTAGTCAAAGAAAGGAGTCTCAAAGGGAGTTCAGTCATTTTGGGCAACAGTATGAACCACAAGTCTGGGCTCTGTAAAGACGGGAGCTTGAAAAACTAGTTTGACAGTCTGACCAATTATAGAAGTAGATGTAAGGGGTGGAGAGTAGTTGGGAGGTAAACCAAACTCTGGCCAAGTTGAAGGTGGCAACTGAATAGGAGCAGGATCAGCATTTGAAACTTCCTGAATGACGGTCCTTTGAGATTCTCCTCTGGCCATCAAGACCTGAAGCATCTCGGTAAGCTTAGTCACGCCTGATTTTAACTCATCGATCTCCATTCAGATTTCTACGTTGTGTACTTCTTGCTCTGACATCTTGCGTCTATAGTTAGCTCTAGTCCGATATCGGTGTCGAGGAATCAGTTTGACGACTCACAGGCACACTAGAAGATGAAGACAACTGAAGATGAGCGACTGGACAAGCAGAGGTCACTACTAGAAAACTTCATTTTAGCTGCGAATTTAGCCTCGGCCACCGACACCGAGGCTAACTAGCCTCGACAAAACCGATTTTATTTAAACGCAAAGAAAGCCATTTTACAGTTTTTCTTTTACAATTATTTTTATTTAATTCATTAGACACGACTAGTCCGAGGCTAAATTTTTTTAAAATATTAGACACGGTCTAGCCGAAGCTATTTAAACGCAATAAACCCCATTCAAGAGTTTTACTATTTTTTAAATATTAGACACGGATGAGCCGAGGCTAAGTTTTTTAAATATTTTTTTTTATCTGGTATACACGGTCTAGCCGAGGCTAAAGTTTTTAATATTTTCTCATCCACATTTATTTTATCTATTAGACACGGTATAGCCGAGGCTAATCTTTTTTATTTTTTTATTTTATCTGTTAGACACGGATGGACCGAGGCTAAATGATTTCCCACCTTCTTATTCACGTTTCCCTCTTCATTCTTTTCAGAGAACGAACCCTAAAATTAAACAGCTTCAGAAGAAAAAAACCCCTAAAATCAATATAGTGAGTTTCATCTCTTCGTTTTCATCTTCAAGATCATTGATTCTTGTGAGTGGGTTTATTGGTCTCTGATTCTTCTTCTGCTTTTTTTTTAACCTCAAACTATCTCTGATTCTTCTTCTGCTTTTTTTCAATGTAGTGAGTTTTAGTCTTGACCTTTACCTGTTGAATGAAGTTTAGAAGATAAAGCTGCAAGTGCTTCCAAGAATCATAGTCAAGCAGAGAAAAGACGCAGAGATAGAATCAATTTGTTTGTGTTATTTGTCATTTTAAGGTTAGATTTTGTTATTTGCCATTCTAATTCCAACCCTAACTGAGATTTAGGTTTAATGATTATATTGTTTTGCATTCAATTCATCCCCTGCTTTTGTCTGTGTTGCTGTTAGGTTTAGGGTTTAGGTTTTGCATTCTAATTTTTATTTAAGATTTTATATGCACTGTTTTGTTAAATATGGTTGAACTCGGTTCTGTTAGTATGGTAATTGACATTCTATTGTGAAGGGGAAAATGTTAGTGTGTAAAAAACTCTTGTTAGGTGCTAGCTAATTCAAATTTCACAACACTTATAACTTTTCGGTGCTGCAGAAATAGCTGTAGTCAACTTTTCGGTGCTGCAGAAATAGCTGTAGTAAGTGATTTCATTCCAGCTGAACTTTCTGTGGACACATATGTGAATTTTATGGACACAGATGTGCTTTACAACAGATTAAATTCTGTGGACATCTGGTTGTTTTTGTAGATTTTGTAGACTTTATAGACGCACTTGTGAATTTTGATTATTAACGTTTATTATAGATACAATGATTTTGGGGATTTTCGGTAGATTAATTTAGTGTGAATTCTGCTTTCAGGAGCCTAGCAGCGTCGAAAAAATTATGGAAATTGATGACCATATTGGTTGTGCGATGAGTGGATTGATTGTTGATGCTCGTACACTGGTTGAGCATGCTCGAGTTGAAACTCAGGTACTGTTTGTTACCTTTGTAGGATGTTGTAGGTAGTTGATTGGTTTGTGATTGATATGTTTTGGTTTGTTGTTCACAGAATCATAGGTTCTCTTACGGTGAACCGATGACTGTAGAGTCCACAACTCAAGCTCTTTGTGACCTTGCTTTGCGCTTTGGTGAAGGTGACGAAGAATCAATGGTACAGAACTTATTAGCTTTGATTTTCGTGTTTCTTTTAGTTTGCTTGCTTACGGTCTTTAATGGCCAAAACTTGTGAACTTGCCTAATTCCTTTTTGTTTACAAATTTTCCAAATGCTTGCATGTTGCATTTTTGAATGTTTAATGAAGATATAAACAGAATTCTTTATATTTTGAGATGCACAAATATCCTGAACTTACATCTATTGTGAAATATATAGCATTCCTATTAGAGTAAGTCTTTGTCCTTGTTTAAGGTGCATTTTGTAATCTACACATTGGTTCTATTGCATGGGCCTAAAAGCTTTTTCTTTTGTTTAAGATACTTGTTTGAGGTGATACTCATAAGTTTCTCTATTTTTTTTTAATTCTTTCATTTCATGATGTTAAATTATTGTTGTTGTTGATGATTGTTGTTGTTGCAGGTTGTGGTTTACAAATCGGTATCAAATTGTTTTTGTTTCCACCGTTTTGCAACTTGCACACTAAGTGTTCGGTAAATTGTCTCAACCAGGTTTCTTTTCCTTTTTCGTTTCTGTTTCTTACGAATCATGTGTTCGATAAATTATTATTAGCTTCAGAAAATCACCTGAGATGGCAACTAAACTTTAGGTATTAGCAATTCATCGAGTTTTCAAACACACAATTAGTCTCTTATAAAAAGGAACAACAATGATCTTTAATTTCTGTTAGTAGTTGAGACTTAATATAGGAACAAAGTATTTGGAGATCTGGTCTGCAAATTTCTGAACAGGAGCTTTAGCCATTTGAGCAGACTCAACAAGTCTAACAATTTGAGAAAGTGCACTTTCTGATCCAACTCTTGTTACCTTAACATGCAAAATACCATTCTCATTCACGGTACCGCCAATCACCATTTCACCTTTCATCTTAGCAACAGGCTTTTCCTCGCCAGTTATCATACTCTTATTCACATGACTTTGTCCCCATAAAACAAGACCATCCGATGCTACTTTTGCGCCCGACACAACTTTGATCACATCATTCTTCTGTATTAACCGGCTATCAATCTCCCGTTCGCCAATCACATTTCCCTTATCGTCTTGAGTTAATAACATAGTTGTATCAGGTGTCAAATCCATAAGTTAGAATCCATTCTTCTGTTGTATGTCTAATCATATTCTGTGTGGAAATTAATTGTGTGTTTATGGACCAAGAGGCTTAATTTATAAAATATATTGACTAGTAATGTCCATTTATTGGGCTAATACTTTGTTCCTGTTAGAATCGTGTACTATTTTTTGAGGTATAATGGATCACATAAGTATAGTTTTCAGAAAAATTGTTTCTTTGCATATATTACATTCATTAAACATATGTTTTTCTTTTTATCTCTTTTATGTTTCATCTCATATATATACCTTGTTGTTTGTTTGTTAGACTTTACTAATGTCTTTCATGGCAAGGTTTTGATTGACACGGTACAACATACGATAGTTAGGCTCACGTGTTGTGTCTGCTTCATTTATTTGTCTGTATGGATTGGAAAAGAAGGAAAAGCAGTCAGATATTTGTTATTCTGGGCTTATTTTGCATTCTGTATTTTACAATTTGTTCATGTGTTTGCAGATACTATTTAAGCTGTTAGCCAAGGGTGGAAGTGTCTGCGGAAATCATAGAAAAAAAGGATTTGGTTCAGGTTAGTAGTAGTACCATTCCTCATTTTCTCACTTTCTCCACAAGTGACTCATGCATACTCCCCTGTTAGTAGTAGTATCAATTCTTGTCAATTGCTTTTTAGTTCCTTTTTCTGATGATTTCATCTAGAATCTTCAAGATATTGCAGATAGAGAATGAATATGGTTTCTATGAAAACTTTTATAAAGAGGATGGTAAGAAATATGCTTTATAGGCTGCAAAAATGGCTGTTTCTCAAAATACAAGTGTCCCTTGGATAATGTGCCAACAGTGGATGCTCCAGATCCTGATGGGCGTCATATTGTTGTTGGTTTAAACAACTCTGAAGTGCAGCTATGTGATACAGCTTCCGATAAGCAGGTATGTTATCCTTCAAATTATATACACCATTTTATGAACTATTGCTATCCTTTTCCTACACAAGTTAGATAAATGTGCTGTAACCGTGAGAGTACTACCTGATATGGGACATATTTGTATATGTATGTAAAGGAGTTCATATTGAAATAAAACAAGTGCAACATTTTTCAGTTTTCTGATTCAAATCCTAACACCTGTTCCTGTAACTTTGATTAATATACTTATTACAGCTTCAGAAATATTTCAGCTCTGTAGCGGGAAATATTGGGCTCCCTTTTCTATCAGCGGGGTCGTTCCAGGGATAGCTAACCTTTAGTTTCCAAAACTATTTTGTACAGAACCTTAATTCTCTATACTGTAGGGGTTATGGCAGCTTAATTTTGCAGGCATTCATATCTTCGCCGAGTGTGATAAACCCTGATACGTTAATGCAATGTTTTTTGATAAACCCTTTGGAATGTATTTAGTAGTTGCATACCTATTTTTTCCTCTTAAATCAATTAAGCACTCCAAGCTCACACCATATAACAGCCATGAAAGACTGGATTTTTCATATTCTATCTATTATGATCAAACAATTATAATCCTAGCATTCAATTAATGTTTCTCATTATATCTGAGACTAATTGCATTCCACCATTAAACAATATGTTCACAAGTCATAGTAATTGAGCACATACAAGATTGATCATAGTTTTAAAACACGTGCCTAATGAATGAAGAGGAAAGCAAAAATATTGAAGTGAAGAGAAAAACAGTACATGAAGAAGTTTTGAAGAATTCCAATGCTTTGGAAATTTTCAGCAAGTATGATTCCTTTTTTTGCAGGTCTGTTAGATTGAAGCAGAGGAATGGACTTCTTTACTCAAGATATAACTGAGGACTCTATCCTAAGGTGTCCATTCTTGAGGAACATTAATGAACCAACTAACTTCTCATTTGTTTCACCTTTGGCTTTTCCAATGCCTGTAAGTTCTCTTTTTGGTTGATATAATTCTCATTTCATCCTTTTCTTTATCCTGCATATATGAATTTTTCTGTCACTGAGCAGTTGTTTGCGAATGATGCTTGTCGTATATTGCTCTTACTTCTCAGATTTATGTACCGAGTCTGACCAAAATGCAGTTATTTTAAGTTAAAGCTTCTGTTCAGGGAAACAAACTGTATTTTTGTATAACTATATCTCCATGTGCTATTTATTTTAACAGAGTGACACAGGTTCAGTTGGTGAAATTTATTTGGTCACTGATCCGGAGTCTTCAGGTTCACCCCCCAAAAGGCCACCCCCACCTGTTCCTATATCTGTAGTGCCTCCTATCGCTGTTTCCACTCCGCCTCATGCTTTTCCTCCGTCTTCAATTGCTTCTGATCTATCAAGATCAGAGTCTTTAAACTCTGCACAAGAAAGAGAGTTAACAGTGGATGTCATTGAAGATTTTGATGACGACGAGGATATTTCCACAGTAGAAGGTCTCAGTGCTAAAAGGACACTAAATAATGCTTCAGATCTTGCTGTAAAATTCCCTTATTTTTTCACAGGTGATTGTTTTAAGAAACTTATTGTTGGATAAATTCTTTACATTGATAGAAACCAAGAACCACAGAGAAACTGAAAAAACAAGAGAGTGAAAGAAAAGCTGAGATAGAAGCATGAGAAAATTTTCTATTCTGTTATCATAGCTGAACTGAACTTGTAGAAGGTTATGTTACATTTATGGTTAGGATTCGTTCACTTAGTATTTTATGACACACTTGATAAATATAATTTATCCTACTTGGTGGGTAAAAGCTTTGATTTTTTATATATGAAACCAAACCAAGATCTTGGCTTGGTGAAGTTTATATGGCTGATCCTACTTATTGGGTAAAATTATATTGGTGTATTTTCTTTCTTTTTTTATGTTATTTTTTATTGCATGCTGCAATTGTCCATTTTCCTTCTTCTCAGGGTGCCAGAAATGAGATATTTGCCATGAAACCTGCGCCAATTCAAGTTTCATATATGGGATTTCTTGGCACAACTGGAGCTACTTACATATATTACTTGGTCACTGATGAGGTAAGCAATATTGGGTGTTGTCTGGCCATCTCATTAACTTGTTTACATGCTTTCTGAATTATTGCTGCTTCTCTTGCAGTTTGTTTCACCTCTTCAGTATGCACATATATACTCTGAACAAATTGTTCATCTCCCTCATTGCTACTTTGTAAATGATTATAAACAGGTTTGTTTTTATGAATTTGTATTCTAAAAACTTGGATATACATTTTGTAACGTATGTATTTTTACTATACACTGGCATTTGGCACTCCATGTCTTTGTCCTGGGTAATTTGTTTATTCAGAAAAATCAGGACGTGTTAGATCCTAACTGTCAGCTCAAAAGATCAGATTATGGTCTACCTGAGGACAAGTTTTTATTTGCATGCTTCAATCAACTTTATAAGATGGATCCTGAGATATTTAATACATGATAATGTTATGAAGCTCTTTTTGTTTGGTTGATAGGCTTTAAAGACCGCTTCATATTCCATCTGTGTATTTTATTTTTTCTATACCCGGCATCTTATCCTTTACGTGTGTGCCTATGTGTTGCTTTAGGTGCAATATACTTAAACGTGTGCCCAACAGCGCGCTTTGGCTCCTGAAATTTCCTGCAGCAGACGAAATGAGACTGAGGGCATGTATGTGACTTTGTTTTCATAATATTTACACACCACACATAAATATGTGTGTGTGCTTTCAATGTGCTTTTTATAATCAATTCTCCTGTGGGCATATTCATGTCAAAACCATCGGACATCTTATTCTTCTATTTGTATTTGCTCGTAATATTCTTGTGAACTAACTCTATAATTATTTCACTTCTTTCAGATGTTGTTGCACAAGGGGTGCAGCCGAATCAAATTATCTTCACAAATGTCGCGATGAAGAGCGAGCACATTAGACAAAGTTCTTTAGCAGACCTATTTCTTGACACGTAATTTATCTCATCTACATGTTTTGCTTCTTCAACCTTCTGTTGATGTGTCACTTACATATGTTGAATATGATTTCTT